TAAAAGTGACCTTGGACATAGGAAGTGCTTGGGGTGAGGCAATGTGTTGACTTAACAACGCTTCACAAAACAAGCATATAAGTACACGGGGAGGTGGGATTTTAATGCCTAGCACTGCATCCTCAGACTAATCTTGCCTTAAAATGTGTGAAGACAACCCCTCCCCGAGATGCACCAGCAGTGAGGTGCACGGAGCTGCAGGCTGGGGCTGCGTGCTGCCCAGAACAAGGCTGGCTGTGCCCTACGGGGCTCTGCAGACCCTCCCTGAGGTGCTTTGTGTTAACTCCCGATCCTGGTGCCCCCCCTTCAGCTGTGCTGAGCCTCTCCCTGCTATGTGCACAAAGCAGAATCTGGGGGCACCTCCAGACTGCTGAGAAAACGTGTGAGCAGACCCTAACGTGCCTCGTTGGGCTGACAGAACCCGGATCTAAAGATGCACAAGTTTGGGAAATTCACCACCTGCGATGCTTTCCTCCATTCTCGTGTTTGCTCACGGCAGCAGCGTTTTCCTTTCTGCACCGTAAGAAAGGTTCGGTAAAGCAGTGACGGTGCGCCGGGTGATTTGGGGCTGACTGTGGGACAGGACCCCGCCGCGCACCTGCCGTCTTCTCTCTCACCGAACCCATTCGCTCCTTTGTGCAGCGGCCGGGGCAGCTCCGGGAGAGCCCGGAGAAAGGGGGGGGGGACGGAGGCTGCTGAGTTTCGGGCGCTCGGAGCCGCGTTCCCACGCGGAGCCCCGGATCCGACCCCCGAGATCGCCGCAGGTCTGGAGGAGCGGCCACCTCCCGGCGCACCCACTCGCATCCCCGGACACCCGCGGCCCCGCACTCACATCCGGGGCCGGCTTTACTAATGGGAGACGTAATTAACCCGGAAAAAAAGCGACGGCTGAGCCGCGGGCACACCCCCTCCGCGCCCAGCCCTCCTCTGCGGCTCCGTTCGGCGTGCGCGCAGCCCCAACCCCGGCCATGCGCGGGGCCGACAGCACAGCGGCGGTGCGGGGTGAGTGCGGGGCTGAGGGGTCACGCTTCGTCCGCGGAGCTTCACCCTACGCGCGGATGGAGGAGGAGGAGCGGGGGGCGTCCCAGTCCTTTCGCTTTCCCCGAGCCCTCGGTGCTGCGCTCTCGGCTCTGCGCGCAGTGGAGCCGCCTCCGCTGTTCGCCCCGTCGGTCCTTGAGTGGGGAGGGGGCTGAAATCTCCTCGCAGCGGTTGGGAGCATCGGACAGGAGAGCCGTGCAGGGCTTTGCGGTGGTGGTGCACGTCAGTGCTCGCAGCGAGGGGTGGTGCGGGGTGGGCTGGAGGCAGAGCGGGGTTTGGGACGCTCGGATGCGGGGCTGCGCTGGGCGGAGCTGGGAGCAAAAGCGCAGCGAGGATTTGCGCTCCGCGGCTGTTGGAAGTGCGTTCTTCCGACTGAGTTTTTCGGTATGGTGATGAAGTGTATTTTCTTTGCTTCGTGTCTGCGTGTCCTCGTACTCCAGCCGGTTAATTACTTCATTAAGGCACATGCTTGCGCCTAGCAGGAGTTGCTGGGCTCTTCCTGCACCGTCTCTGCGATGTGTCAGCTGCCAGAGAGGTGTTGGTAGGGCGAGAGCTCGGCTTCAGGTAGGAGGAAGTAACGCTGTCACCGCTGCGGGCGCCGCGTGGGGCCCTCGTGACATTCAGCGTCCCGTGTCTCGGATGGCACCGGGACACCAAAGACGGGACGGGAGCGAAATGGGGACGCCGTGACTGCAGATGCGATGGGCTGCAACGCAGGGAAGGGTGCCGGGGGTCTGCGTGCAGCCAACGCTGCCGCGGTGCAGAGTGCGGGGCTGCTGGGGG